TAGATCTGAAATGTCCCCTAAAAATCTCACGTGTTCTGAAGTAGGGCTTTTAGAAGGTGGTTGAATCATAGGTTGAATCCACTAATGAGTTCATAGATGAATATGCTCTTATGTGGTGGGGCCTAAGCAGAAGAGACGGTCACTAGGGGTATAACCTGGAAGGTTGTATTCTTCCTTAGCTCCTCCCTTTATTCTTTGTGTCTAGCTGCCATGAAGTAAATAACTTTTGTCCCCCATGATTCTTATACCTTGGAGTCAGCTGGCCATGCACTGAACCCTCTGAAATTCTGAGCCAGAATAAGCCTCTTCTCTAACTTGCAGGTGTTAGGTATTTTGTCCTAGTGATTGGAGAATGACTAATACATCATGCTGTTCTTTGTATGCAGTAATAGCTTGTTTAGGGGTTTGAGCTACATCTGATGAAATGGATGAAATCCATTCCACTGTGCAATTCTTGTGTCCATTCTCTTGGTTCTCAGCAGAGTGAACATTCTCAGTCAAATCAGGTTACAAGTCTACTGGTTGGTGTCACTCACACCCAGTGTGTGTCTTCCCTGTTCAGTAAGTCCATCATCCTCACCCAGAACTATGCTATACCAATCAGCTAGGTATTCTTGTACAAGTTGACACCACAGTTAACTATGACAGAAGGAGAAGAAAATTTGACCAGCAAATATAAAGTACTATTTAAATAAATCTTAACGTTTAAAACACAGAGCACTGATTTGCTTCTAAAAATGTTAGGCTTTCTAAATATCTGCTCCCAAATGTTCTTATTAGGTTATTATAATAGTTTTTTTAAAGACAAAAAGTGATCCTAAGGGGATGGTGGTCACAATGTGGTATACAGCTGATAGATTCAGTGTTATTAGATATCAAAGCAGGTTGTAAGCCTGCTTTAATATTTAAATAGTACTTCACATTTACTGGTCAAATTTTCTCCTTCCCCTTCTAGCACAGTTAACTGTGGTGTTGGTTTAGCATAGTTCTGGGTATGAGTGGCACCAACTAATGGGTTTGAAGCCTGGATGGAATAAAAATGGAAAGAAGGAAGGCTTGCTTCTGTTTCTTGGGAGGAGCTCCAGTCTTTGCCATTGCCTTTGGATGCTGGTCTTCAGGCTTCTGTCACTAGCCTTCAGTGCAAACTCTTCAGTCTTCCAGGGCAGTCCCTTTGGCTTCCTGATAGACTCACATGGGACTCTGCAGTGAGCCCTAGGCCTGTGACTCTTTCCTGAGTCCTTTGGCTCTCCAGCACATAGATGGCCCTTTCGCATTCTTTCAAACCTGGCTTCGAAGTCCATATGTATTTGGACTTATATATATATGTTATGTCATCTATATTATATATGTTGTATAAAGTCATATATATTATATATGTCTCAATATGTATCCATTTTCCTATGAATGAATCTATTTTCTCGTTCTTTATGGCTGAGTAATATTCCATTTTATAGAAAAACCACATCTTCTTTATCCACTTTCCAACGGATGGGCAAATGGGCTGTTTCCAAGATTTAGCTATTACAAACTGTGCCGCTATAAACATGGGTGCACATACTTCTCTGTGATATGATTCTTTTAGTTCTCTTGGAAAGATACCCAGCAGAGGGATGGCTGGGTCAAATGGAACCTCCAGTCCAAGCTCTTTGAGGTATCTCCATATTGATTTCCATAGTGGTTGCACCAGTCTGCATTCCCACCAACAATGGAGAAGGGTTTCTTTCTCCCCACAACCTCGCCAACATTTGTTATTGTGTGATTTCTTGATAGCAGCCATTCTTTGTGGGGTGAGGTGGAATCTCAGTGCTGTTTTCATCTGCAACTGTGTCTGAAATGTCTGTGCATTTTGGATGCCCATTTTTGAATCGGGTCCTTATATTTGGGGGGGCTGAGTGTTTTGAGTTCTTTATGTATCCTTGATAATAGTCCTTTGTCTGAGGAACAGCTGGTAAAAATTTTTTCCTACATTGTAGATTGTCTCTTAGTTCTGCTGATGGTTTCTTTTGAAGTACAGAAGCTTTTTAGTAAGATGAGATCCCAGTTGTTGATTCTATCTGCTATTTCCCGTGCTACTGAGGATTTGTTCATAAAGTCTTTTCCTATACCAATGTCTTCCAGAGTTCTGCCTAACTTACTTTCCAGCAAGTTTAATGTTTCTGTTTTAATATTTAGATCTTTAATCCATTTGGATTTTAATTTAGTGCAT